ATAGCAATGTAATTGAAATTCAGGTATCTGAACATACTTTCACGGGTGCTCTGGTAACGGTAAAAGCTAGGTCATATTTTTAAGCAAATAAAAATGTTTGTTGTTGAAAGCCAAAGTATCTCCCCCTATTAATACTGTAATTAGCTTTTAGTTACTGTGCCTTCTAGACACAGAAGGGGCAGGTCAGTCACTGACTTTGAGAAGTATTTGGGTATTTTTACATAATAGCACTCCAGGTTGCTCCTCTAGTTATTAAAGGGTTATTAAACTGATATATGCAGAAACGACTAGATATACGCGCGCTCGTCCGAACATCTGAAAATTTCTCGGGCGGGCGTATGCGCAGTTCAGATGTTTGGCCGGGAGACAAGGAGAGACACAAGGTAAGTCTATGGAGCAGCGTGCACCTGCACAGACTCCGTGGGACATGAGCAAAGAGGAGGACAGAGGAGTAAGCGCTGGATCGGTGACCCGCACCAGCATTGGAGGGACAGCTAAAAACTACAGTAAGGAAGAAGATCAGATTAAGAGGCATCATTTAAGCTAAGTCCTTACACTAACATTGGGGGGAGGGGAAAAATATTTTAATGTCACTTTAAGCATTGAAAGTGATGTACATGTACCTGAGGGTGCCTGCTTAAATTTCAATTTCTGATACACTGTATTATTTCACTAGAAATGTTTGCTGTGAGATTTTTAAACATGTCTTCCAGTTCTAATTATTTCCCAAATTATCAATTTTGAATCAAGTGAATCTCACTGAAAAGGGTCTTCCATGCTGTTATGTTTCGTTTTTTGCTGGGCTTGCAGATGGGGACATTATGAAAAACCTATGGTCATTAGGCTTCCAACTAGCCATATAGACAAAAAAAATAATAAACTAGCTCTAATATTTAAGATTATTTGTGAAACAGTGCATATATAGCAAAACTGGATGATCATGATAATTTACAAAAATCACAATCGTTTTTTTGAACTGTCTAGCTAGTAAATAAGCTGGGATTTTTACTTTTTTTTTTATTTGATGCAGATTGTTGGCTTTCAAATAGATACTGGAGGTCTTCTGTTGCTATTGAACGAGTCTGCAATTCTTGTGTGTCCCTGTACCTTTAAGAAGGAATGGGCTACCTCCAAGGCATGGGCTACCTCCAAGGCATACCTGCCCTCAATTTATTTCTATATAAATGTCCCAAGATGGGAGCTCTGTTTGACTAAAGATATGTTGCAAAGGTGCCTTGGTGGGGCGGTGGGGCTTCACATATACCTGCCTAATAAACAGGTATATGAAAATGAAGTTCACATTGCACATTGCATTCACTTAACATTGTTAAAGTGACATTAAAGGCTAAATCCCCCCCCCCTTCCCCCCACAATGCTAATGTATGGACTTACCTTAAATGATGCCTCTTAATCCGATCATCTTCTTCTTTACTGTAGTTTTCAGGAGTCCCTCCAGCACTGGTACCGGTCTCCAATCCAGCGTTGACTCCTCTGTCTTAACTGGCACTTCCTGTTCCACGGAGTCTGTGCGGGTGCAAACTGCTGCATTTACTTACCTTGTGTCTCTCCTCCTCACCCCGCCGAACATCTGAACTGCGCATGTGCCCGCTCCAAGATTCTTTGCGGCCACCCGCGAATTTTCAGATGTTCGGACGGAAGCGCGCCGGGGGAGGGGGGACACAGGTAAGTTTTAACCCTTTGGAGAAGTTTTTTTTTTTTTTTTTTAATGTGTTTGCATATATTTACTGCTTGCCAGCAGTAGATATATGCAAAAAAACGGGAATTTTTTAATAACCCTTTATAATACTCATCACGGCAAATAAGCACATTTTCTGGTCCATTCCAAATTCGGCCATAAATCAAGCTTTGACTAGCATGTATGTATTACTGATGTATGTATAACTGTTACAATATTAAAACAATATGACAAATTTATATAAGTTACCCTAAACTAAACAAAAGTGCCCACGTACCTCACTTTCTGGGATGTCCATATCAGTCATATATTGTGCTGCCGACTGAGGAAAACCTGGGAAAAAAAGTGGGAATATCTTAAAACAGGCAAAAAAAAACAAAACAGAAAATATTAAATATGCAAATCACAGTACAACTATGACAAATCACAAAAGCATGTTTTCAAAATTATGTGGGTTTATTGCAAATACCAATCACACTTCCTAAACAAATATACTCATATTTACAAAAGAAACAGTGCAAATACTAGCATGGTGTAAAGATGCATTCCTTGGAATAAGATATAATCTACAATTACAACATCTTGATTGGTAATCTGCCTAAAAAAGATGATTAAATTATATGCACAAATGTATAAAGATGTTTCTCTGTTATTAAACTTGAACACTTTTAGAATACATCAGAATAATGTGTTAAAGTCTTAATAAATATATTCACTTTGTTTGTTATTATAATCACCATTATCATCATCGCAACACTTAACAGTTGTCTTTTAAAATCTCTGTTTATAGACCTTACTGTTGAAGAATTGTTTCTAAAACACTAAAATAGTTTTCATTATTTTTCCATGTTTGAAATGTAATCTAATCTATATTCCAAATCAGTTCTGTGTGTATATTTATTACATCGCATTTGAGAACTTAGGATGTTTCTATTTAAGAACAGCACATTGCTTTATCATTTTTCATAGAACCTAATCATACCTCTTCAGATCAGTTCTTTTAGTGCCGGCATTAAATATCAGAACAATAAGCATTGGGATATCCAATAAAATTATTAATTAATTAAATTAGGCTATCCACATAGTTATTACTAAATTATACAAGGCATTTAACTTTATTTGTTTTCTCACAATTGTAACTTTATACGTAGCGTGTGGAACCCATGACATGAGTTAGTAGGAGTGGGGTCTCAGGATGTTTCTTGAGGTGCCACTTCCACAATAGACACAGAAATATTATTTATGCTTTTACACAGCTTTTTAAATGTCATCACTTGGAAAGTCATATAATATCACTGCATAGCAAATATTTCATAAAATAAACTGTTATGTCTTACCTGAGGAAAGGTGAAGAGCACTCAGGCAGCAGAGTGCAAACAGCAGAGGAGGATGATATTTTCCAGATTTAATGTTAAGGAACTCTCTCTTTCTATCTGTAAGGGATCTGCCTCTTTTGTGGCTCCAAGACTTGAGCATCTTGCCAGAAAATGTCGATGGTGAAGTGTGGCTCATCCACAGTTCAGCTCTATCTCTTTAAATCTAACACTGTATCGCATAGGAGTACAAGCAATCAGCACTTGGCAGGATCCTACTTTCTCTGCTAGTATCATGCTGAGCTCTTATTTATCAGACATTGCCCCCCCCAAATCAATGTTGCCTGATTAGCTAAGGGTTGAGTAAGTAGGGAAGAACAGAGGATCTATATTATTGCACAATAGGGAATTTTATAACTAACACTGAACTGAGGTGGATAGGAAATGCTGCTCATGAGCACTATGTGATCTCACCACACGTGCCCTCTGAAATGTAATAGGTTTTTCGCTTCCAATGGAGTTTATTAAGAATTGTTATTTTATGACATTTGCTGATCCGTGTTCTGGGAGATTTCACGTGAAAGCTGCTTTACAAGAAGTTGAATTAAAATGATCTAGTTTATTGTATGTCTTCTGTAATAGCTATTCTTTGTCTAGAGTGGCTTGTCATTATGTTGTTTCAGCAAAGACTTTATGGTGTCATTGTACAGTTTGCTTACACTACAGTATTTAGTCTTACACTTTAATCCCAACTGTATGTCAATCTGTAAATGACAAGCCCCCAGAGAAATCATTTTTTTATGTTTACAATGTCTTATTCGGTGTATATTGTTTGATAAGGTTAGTAGGGTAGTCACAAGCTAACAATTATACAATGCAGATAAATTAATGATTTGTTGCTAGAAGTGAAAGCTTTAGAATGAGTATATATTTTGAAAAGCTAAAAGCAAACCTTTTTTTGCCCATTTAGGGCAAAGCAACAAGTTCACTTCAAAGCCCACCTCCATGTTTTTTAATAGTCCTCTAGCAGTTGTGGAAACAAAAAAATCAGCTCTGATTGCAATACTTACCTCCTCTCTATAGTTGTCCCCACACTAAATTAATTTTACCACTAGATATCCGGAGGTTAAGTGACAGAAGAAGACTGAGGATATACTGTGAGTGCAGAAAGTCATGGATTTGTTCCCTGAGGGTGTGTCACCGATGCACCCTGCACTAGGAGTGTAATGATGCAAAGGACAGCCAGTACCGCTCTCTGCATCAGTGGGGACCGTGCACCTCCAGGAGGAAATCCGAAAACCTGTGTGTCACATGACATGCCTAAAGATATCTGCAAAAGGTAAGTATAAAACAAGGAAGCGATAAACATTGAAAATGGTGGGGCTCTCAGGGGCAGAGGGGTTACTGGGGATGGAAAGGTCAACTTGAAGTTATGTGTTAATGTCCCCCCCTTTCAGCAGCAAATACTAACCTTTCCTTCTTTTCCCTGACACTCTCTGTGCCCACCGGGAATGGGAAAAGCAAGCCATGTACGTGCATTGAGTCACTCTAGTATCAGCTATGAGAACTCTCTCCTATGTGCAGAAGAGTGTAATGCACACTGCAGACGTCAGGAGTACATAACGCATAGAGTTCAGGGGCCAAGATAATATAATGTATATAGTGCAGGGATAAAGAGAATTTACCACACATGGTGTAGGGGCCAAGAATTGTGTAACTCACAGAGTGCAGAGGTAAGGAGTATATAACTCACTGAGTGCAGAGATCAGTAGTACATAACACAAACAGTGCCAGAGTCAGTTTGTAACTCACAAGATGGAGGGTCCAAGAGTATGTAATTCCCAAAATGCATAAGTCAGAAGTGTAATGTAATGCACAGAGTACAGGGCTAGGAATATGTAACACACAAAGTGCAGAAGTGTGTATTGTAGAGAATACAGGAGGCAGGAGCATGTGATGTGCAAAAAGTCAGAAGTAACACACACTGCAGTGGTCAGGAGTGCATAACAAACACTGCCGGGGTAAGGAGTGCATAACGCAAAGAGTGCGGGGGTCAGGAGTACACAGTGCAGATTGTGGGGATATAGAGTATGTAATGCACTAGAGACCAGGACAATGTAATGTACAGAGGTCAGGGGTATGTAATGTCTAAAGCGCAGGGATCAGTAGTGTTTGTCACACAGAGTGCAGACATCAGGAGTACATAAGGCACAGAGTGCATGGGTCAGAAGATTATAATGTACAAAGCACAGGAGTCAGAATTTAACACACAAGGTACATGCAGGGGTATGCAACACAGAGAGTGCAGTGGTCAGGAATACAGAACACACAGAGTGCAGGGGTTAGGAGAATGTAATATACAGAATTCAGCATCATGTCTCACGGGGTGCTGGAGTTAGAAGTGTATAACTCATAGGGTGGAGGTGTCAGTAGTATGTAATGGGCAAAGTGCATGGGTCAGGAGAATGTAATGTACAGAGTTCAGGTCTCAGGATTATGTAGCTCACAGAGTTCTGGAGTCAGTAGTGTGTAACTCATAGGGTGGAGGTGTCAGGAGTATGTGGTGTGGTCAGGAGTATATAACACTCAGATTGCAGGGATCAGGAGAATATAATGTAAAAGTGCACTGGTCGGGAGTATGTAATGTACAGAGAGCAGAGGTCAGGAGTATGTAACATACAGACGTCAGGTGTATGTAATGCACAGGGATCATGTACAAGGTGTAGGGGTCAGCAGTGTGTAAAGCACGGAGGGCATGGGTTACTGCAGTGCTTGGAAGGAAGAGGGGGGGGTCTGC